ATATTTTTTAAATATTTTTAATTATAAAAATTTAAAATTTAAAATTTAAATCAGCGAAATGAATCTCTTTAATCTAAGCATACAAAAACAGTCCGAGGGTTAATAATTTTCACTGCCGGTAGGGAAAAAGCACCTCACCTGCGCTTTCCCATAATAATAATAATAATAATAATAATAATAATAATAGAAACAATCAGGACCAAAAATGCTCAAATATCCTCGTAATTCTTTAAGTTGACGAATTTACCCTTCAAAACCACCGTCGACACCGAGACACTCAGTCGGTGGCGGCGAAGTACCATAGCCTCGGGCGAGGGAAAAGGACGCTAAACTTTTATATAAGACCAAGTAAAATGTCGGCTTTTTCACTTCCAATCTAATTTTGGAATTTCGTTGATTGTTTTATCGGATTTTCCCTTTACACCATCGGTTTCGAAGAGAAAGAAACCTACCCTCTCCGTGACCCTAACGTAGGCTTTGAATCTAAAAGCCATTACATTTTCTGTGCTGGAGTTGATCTTGTACCTGAAAACAAGTTAATTACGTATTTGTCTATGGGTTTCGAGTAGAGTGAAGCGGTTTTTAGTTATAGACTTGTTGCTTTTTCTCTCTTTTGGTTTTAGTTTTTTGGGTTTTTATGCCTCTTCTGCTTCTTCGTTACTTTACGTCATAGTGTATGTGTTCGATTATGTTATGCACGCCAGATGTTCGATGAAATGCTTAACTGAAAACTGAACTGTCTTGAATTGTTTTAACGGTATCCTTTTGCTAGTCTTTGTACGAATTTTCATGTGGTTGTGCTAATTTTTGTAGAATCGGACGGGATATATGAAAAATGGAGAACGACGTGGATGAAGTGAAGAAGGTGCAGCTTGTGGAAGCTCGAGCTAGGAACATCAGCCACAACGTCCGCTGCACCGAGTGTGGGAGTCAGTCCATTGAAGATTCCCAAGCAGATATTGCCATTCTGCTTAGAAAGGTAGATTCTATGTGGTCTTTCCACTCCTTGTTTGTGTTAATTTAAGATCACCTCAAATGCCAATGTCAATGCTGTATTTGATGCTGAAAAGTGTGAACATAACATATTTTGTTATGTTTTTCAATTTTGTGTTGCAACTCGTAATGCTATTTTAAATGTTATATCTACTTTTTGTCATAATTTGTATATCTTTAGAAGAACTTGTAAAAGTAAATTTTTAATTTTAATATAATTTGAAAATGACGATATGGTAATGAGTAAATGAAAAAGTCACTACATCAACCAATTGCAGTCAAATGCTAAAATTTGATATACGCTATACTTGGTACAAAATTGGCACCAAGCATAGCATATGCCAAATTTAACACCAAGAATAGTATTGGATTGGAGAGTGATTTTCCCACTCAAAATTCAAATGTTAAGACTTGGTATTGATATAGTAATTTAGCACATTACAGATGATCTGAGTTTCAATAGCGCCTCATTTAAGAAATCAAGAGATATGCATGTATCGACCTCAATCTAATGAAGTACTGTAAATAGCCACTTTCTTGAAATTTTCTATAGTGAAACAACAAACATCAGTGGAGGTCTAAAGTGTAGATACGCATGAGGCTTTTGAATGTCATCCTGTCGAAAGTCTTAGCTTCATAAGAAGCTCTTGTTGGATTGAATTCTCTCTCTATTTTATGCTTATATCGTTAACTTCAATAGCTCAAGGAAAATTTTTAGAGCTATTGGGATTCTGTAGTGATTTCTCAGTTCTGGTCGCTTGTTGATCTGGTATTTATTTACGAGTTGGCTACACAATTAAGATTATTTATCCAACCTCTTCTTCACTGATGTTTTCTATGTGTTGACAGTTGATCCGTGATGAGATTCGTTCAGGCAGAACAGACAAAGAGATCTTTCAAAAGCTAGAAAATGAGTTTGGAGAGACCGTACTGTATGCCCCAAAGTTTGATCTGCAGACTGCGGCCCTTTGGCTATCACCAGTATGTTGAAGGGCCTACTTGTATGAACATACAACGACTTCGTTTCTGTTTTTAAACGCTGTAGTGATTTTGTTTTGTTGTGTTTTGGAACAGGTTCTACTCGCTGGTGCCGCTGCTGGAGTATGGGCCTTTCAGAGGCACAAATCAAAGAACAACGTTCACGTTATGGCTCTAAACCTCGTAAGAAGTGTTCCATTGACCCCAAATGAGAAGCAAACTATGCTAGACCTCCTCAAACCTCTGCCGCAGCCGAGGACCACTCTTTTGTCCGTGTGGAGGAGGTGGCAAAGTCAATGACGCGCCTTCTTCCATCTTCCTTCTTAGCCTCAAGTTTGGTGAGAATCAAACTTGTTAAATGGTTAAACACTAGTCTTCAAAAACCAGAATCGACTTGTTAAATGGTTTGAGCTTAGTTGAATGGAATGATGATTCGGCAATCCAAACTTCCAATTTCCGTACAATTTTGTACTGTAACTAGTGATCATACTGTATGACTGTATATTAACATATTGATAATGGTTGTCTCGTCGTTTGACTTTACCCTTAAATAAAGTTGCAACTTTTCTTTTAATCCTTTTTGAGTGAGGAAGTCACATCTGTTTTGGTAATTTGTAGGGACCTTCTCTGGTACTCTCTAACATACCGGTAAGTCAGGTTTTCTGTCCGTTAGATTTGTATAAAATTATGTAGAAGTTAAAAAGTACGCATATTTAAAGGTTAAAAAGCCTAGTCTATTGATACGCTATGTGTATTAGAAAATCACCCAAATTTGTATACTTATTTTCATATTTGGAGTTTGGTCATTAGTCAAACTTGTCCCATTTGAACTTTTCCCACCATTGTAAAGCTTCCATCCATTTTCTTTTTTTATTCTTTCTACATTGTTGAATTTCTATTCCTCAAAGAAGCAAAACCAAATTGGCCATTTTGCTTTGTGTACATATACGGACAGCTTGGAGACTATGCAGTGATGTCCCCACTAAGGAACGTTGTTTTGCAATCAAATCACTGAAACCTTGACTTGGTTTAGAATTGAATCTTTTTCCTTGCTTTCACTACTTTTTGACGGTGAAATTTCGTCAACAGATTAATAATTGAGTTGTGGTGGTTTGTGTGCAGATTAAACATGATTATAACGCGATTAAAAAGAATTAAGACCAACACAAGAATTTATAGTAATTCACTCTTGGAATTCAAAGGCTACATCCACTATCAGAGAGCTTACTAAATTTTGAGAAAAATATTACAAATGAGAGAGAGAGAGAGTCCAGACCATCCTCTCTGAGCCATTCCCCCCATATTTATATATTATATTATCCTAATTGTCAAACTTCTAATCACATTCTGAGATTGCTTTACCAACTCTTAGAACAGTGACTTTTGATGACTGACAATTTGATCAGTTTGCCTAATTTTCCCAACCGGCTTCACCACTAACTCTGCTTGCATTAAATACCTATCAAATCTCTGAGCAGCTATCACATCTTGACTGGCGTGGATAGGGTCAGTGCTTGGCTGTCCTTTGAAGTGGTCTACGTCTTCAAATGATGATGTGGTCTACTTCATATTGCGATATACTCCTCAATACGGTCGCCCCTAGGGCTTTATTTCCATATTATGATCGTTGCCTACAGTCGGCATCTATTGAATAGTGGGATTCTTTGTCCACAGTTGGCGCGGTCATTAATCATCCAACTATGCCACGTGGCGATCATCTAGTGGACCACGTGGATCATAGAAATTTTCCCTATAACAACTACTATCAAACTTCTATTGTTCTGGCCAACGAGAGGATTTGATATCACAAGATAACACCCTATAAAGAGCTATTCATTTTTTTTTTTTGGGGGACAATTACCGGCTATTTCCAAGTTGTATATTAAAATGATAAAATCTATATTTCCAAGTTGTATATTAAAATACATGTGAATGCCAAAGAGGTACACTAATGGCACGGAGATGCGCTGACCATCATTCTTGTACTCATTACCAAGTAGTATCATGCCATTGACTTCAAAATTTTGAAAAGTAGAGAGAATTTTGTTTTGGATACACGGAGAAGACTTTTTGAACATTGACATACATCACAATTTGATTAAAAAACCAAGGCACTAGAAGCGTGGTAGGGGGTGAAAATTTGCTTATTTAAGTGAAACTGAAAGCAAGCTTATAACTTAGAGAAGCCTACTACAACTGACCAATTATCAAATAGGTGGAACCGAGGAGACTCAGACAAAGGAAGTTCCACAAATGGGTTCAATGGGTGAACCTCCTGTCGCCTCGAATCATCAAGAAAACCAAAGCCAGCCACTTGGAAGGCCATGGAGCACCGGACTGTTCGATTGCCACGAAAATCAGACCAACGGTAAACTTCCCTTTCTCTCCGGTCTTTCCTTTATTAAATGGCTTTGTAGAAAGCACTAAAATAATATAACAGTCGGTTATTTTATGCATACAGAACAGTTGGTAAACGGTATGAAGTTTGAACTGTCTTTCAAGTACGAGTTTGAACTCCGTTATCAAGTTTGTAAAGCACAGAAAACAATTAAGAAGACCGAAATAGAATTCTTTTATGCTTATATGTTATCAGTATTCGTTTAAGGGCCGATCTGATTATGCAATTTCGTATTTTGGCAGCCGTTATGACAGCCTTTTTCCCATGTGTTACATTTGGGCAGATTGCAGAAGTTCTAGATGGTGGAGAAATGGGTAATTTCCCTTCTCTTCATGTTGATGGTTTAGTTGATAAGAAGGTTTTTAACACGTCCCCAGTTATATGAATTCTTACATATCTTCTTGCTCTTGATAAAAATCTACTATTGCAGCTTGCCATTTGGGGAGCTTCATATACTTATTGATGATGCCTGCACTGTGTTCTCAATGGATAATGGGATCAAAATATAGAACAAAGCTGAGGAAAAAATATGGTTTGGTGGAAGCTCCGTATACAGATGTGATCTCCCATGTCTTTTGTTCTTGTTGTTCCCTTTGTCAGGAATTCAGAGAGCTCAAAATCAGAGGACTTGATCCTGCCCTTGGTAAATACACATATTACATATATAGTTTCTTTCTGTAAAAATGAAATTACTATTTGAAATTATTACTAACTAGAAATTGTGTCATTTTGGATTTGACTATATTGCTTTGCAGGATGGAATGGAATCCTTGCCCAACAACAGGCAAGACAGTATCAAGGTGAAACGCAAGACGTTCCTCCTCCGGCTCAAGCCATGTCTATGTGAAGATTTAAACAGCTCCTGAGAAATTTCAAGTTTATTGGAAACAACTTTGTCTGAATTCTTCGTTTGTTTGTTTGTTTGTTTGTTTTATTTTATTTTATTTTATTTTATGTTCGATGTTTCTTTATTTGTTTGTCAGTTAAGTTTCAATGCTTGTGGTTTGCTGTGTTTGTTATTGTTGTTCTATAAAGAATTTGGAAGCAAATGAGTGGAGCAACTGTAATGTTCACAGCATTACTATAATTAAAAAAAAAATATTCTTCGCTGACTTTCAGAATTCAAGTTGTTTATATAAAGATATATATATATATATATATATTTGTTTATCCTTCCGTATAAGCTTGCAAAAACTACTTGAAACTTGAGGCAACATTTTTTTTTAATTAAACAATTTAAGAATCAAGAACCACCAAACCAACAGCTTTTTGTGCATGCTTGCAAATGTGGCACACTAATCATTTCACCATAGAGCCCACAACTTGGCTGACTGTTATCTTAAACTTGAAATATATATAAATCTTTTTCTACTAATTCTAATATATATAAATCTCTTCATCCATTCTACAAGTTACATGATGGTCCAAAGAATAAAGAGGTTTCGTTAACTAAAAATTTGAACTGAAGAATTGGATCACTTGCTCATGTCATGCGGACCCCAAAGAGAAAATTGGGAGCAGTACCTTTTCTCTGCTGACTCTTTCCTAAATTGGAAATCCAAACCAAGACTCGGACTTGTTATGCCAATGTACATTATACCTATGTTGAGTGTGTAGAGCCTAATTATTATCTTAATGTGGAGTTAACACACAGATCAACCTTATTACCTGAAGAGAGGTTAGAGGAAAAAAAAAAAAAAAACTTACACAGATTCTGGGCGCTTGTGATTTTTCTCTTATAATCTTCTCCTTTATCATATTAAAATCCTGCAGCAGCTGAAAGTGGATGTAACTTTCACATTCAGAATAAATCTTGTGTGTACTTATTTATTTGTTCGTTTGTTTTTATTTGATCTTATTGTCCTCGATAGTAAATAATTTGGGCTGTAATTCTTGACAACATTTATATATCTATCATGCATGAATTATTTGATGGTCAACATAATTAGATAAACACAGAAGCACATACTATTATAGACTCTCAAGCGCAATAAGCTCGAAAATAGGCTTGAATCTAACAAGAAGGTGAGCTTGATCGATCATGACGCATGAGGACCTTCTCAGGTCATATAGGCATTTGAGTTTTATAACATCAGAAAGATCATTTGAAGCCATATATGTGGCTGTTGAGACTTAGAATACTATTTTTCACAATGCCTTGATCAAAATGGAAGAGTCACCCACTAAATTATGAAGATATATGTTTGATGCAACTATATGTCCAGTAAAAATTGAATATGTTCATTGTTTTTTGCAAGTTTATGAGAGGTTAAAACACAAGGGAAAAGGCTATATAACAAACTAGCTCTTACGTGATAGCTGGTTCTGGTTGGACCGTATAGCCTTGCTCTTCGTTCCATACACAAGATGTTTGTTAATAAGATCTTTGGACATAACCGTCGGACACTCTTTTTAACTGTCAATAAAATTATTATTATTTCATTAGATAATCATTTTTATGTGATTTACGGTTAAAAACTGCGCAATCACTAGAATATAAAATTCTCTGAGCAATTATATGACTAATGTAACATGTGAGAAAAATTGTCACATGTTTTGGTACTTATTGCAGCTCATGTCCTATTTATTTATTTAGTTAGTTATGTTTCATTTGCAAAGGTTGTCACTGGGGGATGTTGATTTACATACTGATGATGCCTGCCTTGTGCTCTCAATGGTACATGATATCACTGTATAGAACAAAGCTGAGAAGGAAATTTGGTTTGGTTGAAGCTCCATATACAGATGTGGTGTCCCACATCTTCTGCCCTTTATGCTCCCTTTGTCAGGAATTCAGGGAGCTCAAAATCAGAGGACTTGATCCTGCTCTTGGTACATGGCATGCACAGCAATCTAAACCATCATTATTTATTTGTTTTTTTTCATCTGCAAATTACTCTTTTTTGTTTATTCCCACAAAATGAAACTACAATGTTACAAAGTCAGTGACCAGCAATTGGGACGGTTTTGGTCTAATAATAATAATAATTTCTTATTCAATTTGAACTCTACTGGTAAGACACAATTATAAATGGTTAGATTGCATTAAAATTACACCAGATGACAATTTAACGAAATTTTATGACCCTCAAAACTTTGACTATTGGTATAGGTTTTTCTCACCTACCAAAGAATTCTCCTATATGTATTTGTGGGGTCCTAAACAATAAAGCCTATTTATGAGGATTTGATTGTAACATGTGAAAAGTGAGTTTTTGAAAATGGTGTTTTGCAGGATGGAAAGGAATCCTTGCTCAACAACGGGGAGAAGGAGAACATTTTCAAGATGAGACATTAGAACTTCCTCCTCAGATTCAAGCCATGTCTCAGTAGAAGTTATGGAATTTATGTTTATGTTGTTGGATTTTATGTCTCCCCTCTTGTTTCTTTGACTGAGGATTTATGTTTATGTTTGTTATTTACTTTGAGCATGTCACTGCTGGTTGTCTTGTCTTGATATGATCTATCACATTCATAATAAGCTTGGACTTTGAATATCAGAAAAAATAATAAATAAAAAAGTTTGGCTTTGATCATATAGGCTAATATATTTATGTAACTTATCTTTTATTAAGCTTATAGTATTTGGATGAAGGTTTCTAGATAAGACTCGGTGAATCTTGCGCCATCCACTCGGTGAAGGGAAACTCTATGGTAAGGGACGGTTACTTTTCCCTATTGATAGGGAGCAATCCAAGGGTGAGTATTTAGTCTTAGTGAGGATTTAGAGATCTAAATATGGTTTCTGCAGTACATTATTATACCCAACTAATTAGAAAAAAATAATGAAAAAACCTAAAACTAAAGATTAGATCTTTGTTCGTCTTCTCCTATACGCCTTAAGACAACGTCTTCATATTCGCCGATGCTTCTGGAACTTGCTGTATCGATTTTAAGGAATGACGGCCATTAATTTTTGATACTCGTAGTTTTTTTTTTCCTGCTAGCAGAGTTGCTCACGAGTTTGCCTGGGTAGGATTCAATGGTATTTTTGAGCAATATTGACATGAGGAGTTCTCTGTTGAACCTTTTATAGTTGCAGAATATGTCTTTTCTTCTAAATAATTTTCAATGAAAGAATTTTTCCCTAATAAAAGGAAAGCAGCCATGAGCAAGCCATAAAACATAAATGTTACACGATAGAAATAATAATAATAAATTGTTTTTCAACGGCCAATCCGACTGAGCTCCGTCGGGTCCGAGTAGCTCTCGAATGTTGAAGGACGGAGAGCAAAGTGCGATTGAGATGCAGTGGGAGATGGAGGATCTCGAATGTTGGATTCACAATTAGAGGGTCTCCGAGAAGATTCTCACGTTTCTTGACGAGGATTAGAACAATTGAGTGGAAAAATTCGTGAAGCCGTCCGACGACGTCTTAAGGCGGCGCAAACCCAGCCTCCCCGACCCAAGGCGGCGGAACCCTGCCAGTGCTACTCATCTGACCTCTCTAACAAATCTCAAAGACGTTGAGCTATTTTTTTAATTTTTTTAAATTTGTAAACTGATGTGTTATGTATGATTGCTTTTACATTATTTTGGTGGTCCTTCACTTTTTTTGACCTTTGGATTTAAATCGGAGGGTATAAAACTTGTACCCTATTAGTAGGGAATCTGTACCCTACTATAGAACTCCCCTTTTTTGAAATGATCTTGCTTTTTTTTTTAAGGGGAAAATTCATTAAGAATTAAAGAAGTACAAACATTAATACTAACACAAATGGCCCCAAAACATAATAACACTCGACCTTGAACATTGACCGGTACTACTAGTAAATTTGAATAAAACATTAAGGGGTCGAGACGTATGCGAGGTTCTACAATCAGAAAACTAAAAAGGCACGTTAAATATCGAACACAAACATGATTCTTTTAATGCAACCACTATAATCGATAGAAAAGCCCGATCGATCATAACCGAGATACCTAGAGTATTAAGGCCACCTACAACACCGCAAAAAAGCGGACTAAATAATCAACCTACACTGAAAGATGGGGGAAACCACCTTCACAAAACACAACAAAACTAGAACACAAACGGTAAAATCAACCATGTCATTATTTGAATAACACAAAAACCAAAAGCAATAAAAAAAGTCTCAAATTACACAAACGGCGCTTCTGATGAGAGAACGGCCAGCAAGATTGAAGAGGGAAGATACACCAGCACGAGAAGGGACGAAAGGAACCACCCTTCATACGACATTTGGGGAAGAAATGCCAGCAGTGCCACCCATCGCCAAAGCCACGAGACCCACCAGAAAGACTGCAACACAAGGGGACAAACACCTCGAACTTGAAGGCCCGTCGGAGCACCAACGCTCCCGGAGAAAGCGGCCATAGCAGTAGCATAGATCTTCCCACCACCATCAATAGCAAATCCGCCGTGACACTGAGCCAGGGCCGGGAGTCCGGTGAACCACTTAGAGGCGGCACTGGACTCCGGCCCACTTGGTTATAAAAAACAAGCAGCGCTAGTTAGAAGACTTTTTTGAGAGAAACCTTAGAGACAAAACGACTCTCTCCTGCTTGAAATCTTTATTGGGAAGACAAGTAAATATATTATGTAATCATATTTTTTTTATTGGGATTATCTCTTGAACTAAACTAATTTTCTACGAACAATTTGTTGAAAAATGGCTTGTTAAGCCATATTAAAGGCCTATTTTGAGGTCCTTTTTGTAAAGGGATCCAATTGAATTTTTGGACAGGTCACTCAGCTATTCTCTCTCTCTCACCGCCCACGGCTCACCGCTTTCTCTCTCTTTCACGCTCTCGTATTTTCTCTTGTAAGTTTTTCTTCTTTCGGGTATTTGATTGATGAAAACGGGGTTGATTTTTTTTTTTTTAATTTTTGTTCTTGGGTTTTTTTTGGGCATGGTTTTCATTTTGAAATGGGGATTTGTTATTAGTAGTTGTTATTGTTCTTTTCCCCCTTAATTTAATTCTGTATTTTTATCGGATTAAACCAGTCTTTCAATAAATAAAATAATAAAGAAAAAAACGTGTAGAGATTTCAATTCAGCTGATAGTGTAATTTTATACAATTCTGAGTTCTCTGTTATTTTTTTGAATAAACTTTTACAGCATTAAGTTCTGGGTCGTTCATGGAGGTGGTGAAAGAAGTAGCTAAGCAAGGGTCTGCGGCTTCTGATGGTGTTGCCATTAGAGCTGACCAGAAAAGTTACACTTACAAACAACTCTTTTCCTCTGCTTGGAGGATATCGAACCTGTTGTTGGGCTCTGCTTGTGAGTTCTAAATCTTTAATTTAGAGACAAATCACAATTTTGTGGAAGAAACAGTGTACCTTGTTTTTCAATGGTACCTAGGCAGAGCAAGAAAGAAAATCATTGTTTTTGCTTCTGTTTCTCAGAGATGATACGATTGTGATGGTGTCCATTTGGTCAAACTTTGTTTTTGGAGAAATTGGGTTCCTTTAGCAAAAAGTAAATGTATGTGGCTTAACTTCAAGAAATGAGTTTGATGATATTAGGGAGTGATTTTGTGTTTTGTATTATGTGTGTTTTTCAGTCTGCGATAAGAAGTATAATCCAATTTATTATCTCTTGATTTTTTTTTTATATACTGGATTAGCTCTTTAATTGATGCTTTGGCCTTGCGGACATGAATACCGGACCGAAAAACCCACTCTGCACGGGTTTTGTTTTGTAATTTTTCTTTTTATTTTTTCTAACTGAAATCTAAAACTACTGCATTAGTGGATGATTAACTCTGCATTAGTGCATGGTGCAGAAACTACAACAATAACCAGTATTATTGCTTAGTTTATGGACATTTAACCTCCGAATTTGGTCATATTTTGGAGCAGATGAATCTGAAAGTTTCAGAGGTTGTAACCTCTGAATTGAATCACCATTAAGCCGTAAATAAATTGGATTTATTCACTATTCTTCCAGCTTTATAACATCTCCTGTAGCATGCTATATAAAGGGGCCTCTCCAACCATTTGAGAGCACATCTTCACATAACTCTCCTCTTTATTATCTCGTTTTCATTTGAGTCTTTCTTACAGTTCTTTGTAGTTCGGTTTTGGTGATAGAGGGAAGGTCCGAGTTTTAGTTCGCCGGACAGTACCGATAGTACTTCAAGCTATCATCATTGTCGTTGTATCCTGGGAGACGGACGACAAACGTTACCTCAAGTACTCGCCGGAGAGGACAAATCTGTTTTTAAGAAACTGTGATTCACGTGCCTCAACATCCTTACAATTCGGTTTTCAAATTTAGTAGAAAGGTTGAATTCGTGTTGTAACTATTTTTATATTTTTATCTCCCTATAAGTTGTTATGAATTGTTCTTAGTTGTATTATCCATATTATTACTAACAATTTTCTGACAAATTCTTATAAACTCATATGATCAAGGAAAGAGGACGTAGACTTTTCCAATTTTGAATGACCCACAAACCCCTCAATCATTATTACGCAACTTCTTTAGTGAAAACTGAAAAGGACCCATATCACTACTTCAAGTTTTTTTTTTTTCCTCAAAAAAAAAAAAAAAAAAAGCGAAAGAAAATCTGAAAATGACCCCTCACACTCAGTAATTGAGCTGACAATCAATCACACCAACTTTTGTGGCTCGAAATATTTGCCAAATCAACTGCAAGTTTTAAGGCATGTTATTTTATCTAAAAAATAAAAAAAAAAAAATTTAAATTTAAATTTTATTTAAATTTATATTTTTTTTAATTTTAATTTTATTTAATTTTATTTAAATTATAATTTTAACTTAAATTATAACTCAAATTTAATTCAAAAATTATACTTAAATTACACTCTAAAAGAACAACCCTCACTAATTACAAAACGTGCCTTTAGCCTTGTTTATCACCATCTGGGCATCGACAAGTACAAATGCCAGTTGCCACACATGGATGAAAAAGTTTCTGCATTGAGGAAGATAAATTATTCACCAACAGATCACTTTCACTTTCATGGCTAAAATAAGAAACTCCGTTCAACAAATGCCCACAAATGAGCTTGTATAAACACAAGAAAGGTTCTTTCGGAGGCCATTTATTGAGTGGAAATGAGAAATTACCATGAATGAAAATAAATCCACGGTCAGAACTTTCATGGAAGCCAACCAAATCCACATGCCTTTAGTAGTACAACAACAACTTTTTTTATTTTTTTATTATTATTATTTTTTCCCGGTTTCGTAACGTCCTTTTCTTCGTATCCATCCAAATTATTCACAGAGAAGAAAACAAATAGGGAAGGAATGCTAGAAGATAGGTAGGTGTGCTACCTCTATATGTTGAATTGGTTGTGACTATTAATTATACAAGGGAAATTTCTTTTTGTATTGTCTTCCAATTTACTTCCAAAGAAGACCATGAAAATGTTAGATCATATCAAAATTCTCTAAAATAAAATATTACATGAATTCAAGGATCTAATAAAAATTTATGCAAACTCACACCATATTGCCAGGACAATGTACCTTATGCAAACTCACAAATGGGCTCGTTTAGTTCGTTGATTCGAATTTTTAATTCAAGTTGAGATGTGACTTTAGGTGAGAGCTTTTTACTGTAACAAAAGTTAGATGTAACTGTTTCTGAGAGCTTTTTACTATAGCAAAACTCAAATTCTAAATTCTAATCGGCGAAATGAACAGGGTCAGTAAATCTCAACTATTCGAATAAAAATTTAGTAATTAAAAAAATAATATTTTTTTTACATGAGATTTTTCGTCTAATACGACTCACACTAAGAAACATGGTTTGATTTACTTTTTTAAAGCCTATTTGATTCACAATTTAAATTTTTTACTACAGTATTTTCTGTCATAAAAATTTAAATTCAACATTTTTACTACAATATTTTTCTTTTCCCATGTAAATTCACTTTTCCATTGAAGTTCACAATTTAAATATGTGAAACGAAACGAACGGACATTTAAGGCCCGTTTACGAATTGTATTTGAATTATGATTTGAGTTTTGATACAAATTTTTTATGAAAAAAAAAAAACTGTTGTAGAATCATAGTTTGAGTTTTAAGTATATGTATCAAATAAGCCTTTATTTTGTAACTAAGGCCTTGTTAATTTAATAGATTCGAGTTTTCAATTCCAGTTTTGTTACAGTTAAAAGCTCTCACAAAAAGTCAATTCCAGTTTTGTTACAGTTAAAAATTTTCACATAAAGTCACATCTTAACGTAAATTAAAAACTTAAATTAGACGAAGTCTAAAGTAATATTCTGTTATGCATACTTCACTATATATATATATATATATATTTATTTATTTATATAACAACAGAGCAGATTCTTTAGCAAATATTTAATAGCACACGTATATAAGCGACCATTCTTTTTCATTTGAAATTGGCAAACGAAACCGAGCCACCGCGCAAACCTACTCCTGGAAGGGTCATGAATGAATGAAAGCCAACCCAAACTGACTTACTCCCTTTCATCAACCAATCCTATGCTCATCCATCGTCGATGACAAGCCATTGGAATGGGATTGATTGCTTTGCTTTGACTGAGTAAACCACAGAATTTACAGTCCCACGCCACCAAAATATTGATTATTGATTTCGTGTAAAACCAAACCACCACCTACAAAAGAAACTATGAGCTTCGCTTCCCCATTTAAAGCTCTCAACAACCACCTCAAACCTCTCTGCTTTTCTTGTTCCCCTTCTCTGCGCTCCAATCACTTCTCACTCAGCTATTCTCTCTCTCTCTCACCGCCCACGGCTCACCGCTTTCTCTCTCTTTCACGCTCTCGTATTTTCTCTTGTAAGTTTTTCTTCTTTCGGGTATTTGATTGATGAAAACGGGGTTTAATTTTTTTTTTTAAATTTTTGTTCTCGTGTTTTTTTTTTTGGGCATGGTTTTCACTTTTATGAAATTTTTTGGTTGAATTTTACTCAAGTTTGGAGCAAATTTGTGAATGAAAGGGAGAAAAAAAAAAGACACAATTTTTGAAATGGGGATTTGTTATTAGTAGTTGTTATTGTTCTTTTCCCCCTTAATTTAATTATGTATTTTTATCGGATTAAACCAGTCTTTCAATAAATAAAATAATAAAGAAAAACGTGTAGAGATTTCAATTCAGCTGATAGTGTAATTTTATACAATTCTGAGTTCTCTGTTATTTTTTTGAATAAACTTTTACAGCATTAAGTTCTGGGTCGTTCATGGAGGTGGTGAAAGAAGTAGCTAAGCAAGGGTCTGCGGCTTCTGATGGTGTTGCCATTAGAGCTGACCAGAAAAGTTACACTTACAAACAACTCTTTTCCTCTGCTTGGAGGATATCGAACCTGTTGTTGGGCTCTGACTTAAACGCTGTGAGTTCTAAATCTTTAATTTAGAGACAAATCACAATTTTGTGGAAGAAACAGTGTACCTTGTTTTTCAATGGTACTTAGGCAGAGCAAGAAAGAAAATCATTGTTTTTGCTTCTGTTTCTCAGAGATGATACGATTGTGATGGTGTCCATTTGGTCAAACTTTGTTTTTGGAGAAATTGGGTTCCTTTAGCAAAAAGTAAATGTATGTGGCTTAACTTCAAGAAATGAGTTTGATGATATTAGGGAGTGATTTTGTGTTTTGTATTATGTGTGTTTTTCAGTCTGCGATAAGAAGTATAATCCAATTTATTATCTCTTGATTTTTTTTTATATACTGGATTAGCTCTTTAATTGATGCTTTGGCCTTGCAGATCCAAGAAGCAGGCAAACACGTAGCTCATTCTGCGCCAATTAATGGCGCAAGAGGACAAGGAAATCTTGGCGGGGCTCGTATAGGAATTGTGGCTAAACCTTCAGCTGAATTTGTTGCTGGAATGCTTGGGACTTGGCTTAGTGGTGGTGTTGCAGTTCCGCTTGCAATAAGCTATCCAGAGGCTGAACTCTTGCACGTGATGACTGATTCGGTGTGCCCTTGGACACCTTTATGCATCTATTCACCTGTTTATATATTTTCGTTGTTGTGTTTCTATGTTTTTACCATTTTCCTGGAAATAAACATATAGTTTTTAAATGCCTATGATATGCGGGGTATCATCGATGGTTAAAGCATCATCAATAGTTATATATTTATGCAATGGTTATCAAATTATAGGATATATCCATGATATTGAGTACTGAAGATCATCAAGAACTTATGCAAAACATTGCGGTGAAAACTGCTGCTCAATTTTCTCTTATTCCACATGTTCCCAGTAGTTATTCAGAGGAAAGTGGAGTTGATCATCTACAATCTGGGGAAATAGATGCAGATAGAATTTTGCATAACACAGAGACTGCAAGTAAGATAGATATTTTACCTTCCTACCAAATACTTGCAATCCAAATTCTGAAAAGGCAATACATTGAGTCGAGACAAATTCTATTTACACTGTCGTCTTTGATGGTGCAGATGAAAATCCTGCCTTAATTATCTACACTAGTGGTACTACTGGGAAGCCTAAAGGGGTTGTTCACACGCACAAAAGCATTTGTGCACAGGTATGCATCACTTGTAACTAACGGGTTTTTATGCCCTACTAAAAAGTAAAAATAAAAAAAAAATGCAGCAAATGTTACTATGCTAGCAGTTATATTTCAAGCAATACTTTCCTTGACATTTGTCCTGATCTCGTCTCATCTCAGGTCCAAACATTGGCAAAAGCATGGGGATATACATCTGCGGATCAATTTTTGCATTGTCTGCCATTACATCATATCCTTCTATTTATATGAGCCCTTCCCTTTCTTTCTCTATTTTTCTTGCCCCCCCCCCCCCCCCCCCCTCTTTTTTTTTTTTTTTTTTTTTTTTTTTACCCCTTTTTTTTTTTTTTGCAGTTTTAATTCAAGCGTAAATTAAGCTCACTTTTGTTAGTTCGTTGTTGCCATCCTCAGTTTGGCTGTCTAAAAGTAGACTTAAAGTGTGCTTGAATTTTTCTGTAGTGGGTTGAAGGTGCTAACTAGTTCACTTGGTAAAGCTTTTTGCCATTGTTTTGTATACTAGATTCGGGATAGGAGAGGGCTACCTCCCATGCTGTGGCTATGCAGAAAACTAAAATATATAAGAATAAGAATAAAAACAAATATATGCTTGAATGGATCCTTAACTATAAGATACATGTTCATGGGCTTTTCAATGCTCTACTTGCCCCTCTCTATGCAGGCTCCACGGTAAATTAATAGTCCATCTTATAGTGTAGTTGTAGGTCTTTTCTCTTACCCATTCCTATAGTATTTACTCTGGAAATTCATTCTAAGCATGTGAGTTCTGATGTGTTACACAGTCTCGTTTGTAATATCATCTTGTTATGTTGTTGCAGGTGGAGTTCATGCCAAAGTTTAGCGTGAGGGGTATCTGGCAGAGATGGCGCGAGTCATATCCAGCAAATGAAACAAAGGCTGATGATTCTATAACCGTGTTTACAGGAGTGAGTATCAGTATTTATTTTAATCTCGTGCATGTATTTCTTTCTCACACATTTCAGTCTCACTGAAATGAAAATTCTTGGGCATTTTCAACATACAATCCTTTGTAGTTGAGCATCTCGATACATATCTTTCTTTTAGCTTCTCTGGGTCGCAATTGCATTTTGTGAATTAAATTTCTGACTTCACTATCACTGCATAGAGTCAAGATAGGCTTTCTATTTGTTTGTAAATGTCGCTGGAAACTAAACACAAATGCAGAAAGAAATTTTTATTATATTATACCACGGTAATCACGTATTGATTTATAGGATTCAATTATGCCTAATATTATCAAAATGATTCTGCATGTGTTGTTGAATTTGTCACTGGAAATTATAGTTATATGTTTTTGTTTCTTATAGGTTCCAACTATATATTCTCGATTGATACAAGGTTATGAAGCAATGGATCCGGAGCTAAAAGCAACCTCGGCCTTTGCTGCAAAACAGTTGCGTCTAATGGTAGGTGGCCTGGAACTAATTATTTAGGATAGTTTTATATTTGTGTAGAACTATCTATTGGGTTTAGCACTGTATTTGTACTGGAAATGCCTTAAGATTAGGTTCTACTCTAAAATACTACTTTCAGTCCTGAATTTACTGCAAGCCTGCGGGGTTTACAAGAATGTAAGTTGTTCCCTGACTCTAACTACCTGTTAAGGTGAAGCCAGGGTGTCATCAATTTTGATCTTTTCTTTTCTTCGTCTAGGTGGGATTTTTGCTAATCTGTTCAGCAATGGGTCATAATCGTATTTTATTTTATATAATTTTTCTGAAAGGTGTTGGGATTTTATTGGCTAAGCTAGATTCTTGAACTAATGGCCCATCTAATACACGGATGTTTTCAACAACTCCATTTGCATGTTCTAATGCATCAAATTTAACTGGTTAGTGCATATCCCGTAACTTGGTACTGAACTTGTTTCATTTAGATGTGTGGCTCGTCTGCACTCCCTCTTCCCGTCATGCAACAGTGGGAAACCATCACAGGACATCGTCTTTTGGAAAGATATGGAATGACAGAGGTAAGTTGAACTTAGGTTAAGTTGCTTTTCTGGACTAAAATTCATTTATGAAAAATCAATAAAAAAGGATTTCTAGAAGTTTTCTTAAGGTAATAGATCTCGTTTAATGTTTTCAGTTTGTCATGGCCATATCAAATCCCTTAAATGGTGAGAGGAAAGCAGGCACTGTTGGCAAACCATTTCCTGGTGTGGAGGTCAGTGAGATTTTGTGGTCCAATTATAATTCTCAAAGATATTTGTTGTTAAGCTGGATTGTTGTCTTTCTATAACAATTAACTAGTGATTGTAAAGTCAGAAAACCGAGGTACGAAAACCACTGTACGATTATGAGAGTTTGTTTAAGAAGTTGAGTCTTCATTGTGAATTAAACTACTGTTGAATAAGGGTTTTTCTTTTTGTTTTTGTTGACTTATGTAGTGATATTTGTCATCTGATAGGTAAGAATTCTCGCAGAAGATAAGAGTGGAAGTGATGGAACGGGAATGGGAGAGCTTTGCATTAAAAGCCCCTCATTGTTCAAGGAGTACTGGAGACGTCCTGAGGTACTATCTGATATCATAAAAAGATCAGGTTCAAGACCATGCGTGCATGTGTCGTTTCTTTTACATTTTTCCCCCTATTTTTCCCTGATATAGTGATCGTTTCGTAGGTAACTAAGGAATCATTTACAGATGACGGTTTCTTCAAGACTGGGGATGCTGTTGGAGTGGACGAGGATGGATATTACATCATTTTGGGACGTAAGAAGATCTAAATCTTTATATTTGTAATGCTTTGATTTATGGGTTATTTCTTTTTTTTTATTTTTTTTATTTTATGGAATGCGCCCCTGCATAAGTTGCCAGGTGCTGTGGTTTGATATGCATATTTAATTCATCATAAATACAGTTTATAGGGTTCTCATGTTGATGCATCATCTTGTAAATTGCTCATTCTAATTCTGGGTTTGTGTTCTCTTTTCTCTTAATGCCACTTAGGCACAAGTGCTGATATTATGAAGGTTGGTGGATACAAGTTATCTGCATTAGAAATAGAATCTGTACTTTTAGAGGTGAGATTCTACCCATCTCTACCCTAGTTTTTCTTACACCAGTTCTATCAATGCTTTTATCTGGATCTTTCTCTAAAGAAAAAGAATGTCAAAAAGAAGAGATGGACGGGACTTGTTCGAACAAAAGATTTTATATATATCCCACTTTTTTGCAGCACCCAACTGTAGAAGAGTGTTGCGTGCTGGGCCTACCAGACAAAGATTATGGAGAAGCTGTCTCTGCAATTATTGTGCCAGAAGCCGAAGCAAAGAAGAGGAGAGAAGAAGAGTCAAGACCTGCTATAAGCTTGGAAGAACTCTGCAGTTGGGCCCAAGTCAAACTCGCACCATACAAGGTCATTACCTAACCATTCTTCTTTATTTCCTTTGTCCCATTTGAGATTACTAGATCTGCTCTAATTATTTAGAAGAATCTCTTTTTTTCCTCATTTATCAGTTATCAAAAAGAAAACTTTGTCTTTCTGACTCCTTGACACACATCTAAAAAGGGTATAATACCGTATAACTACAACTAATATCGAAATCAGCCACTTCAAAAAACAATGAGGATTATTTATGAAGTTGAGAGGAAAAGGATCAGAATGCTGGGTTATTACCTGAACTTGATCTTTATGAAAGAATTCAGACGACCTATAGCGTCTATATGTGTATTTCAATATTCTCAACCCAAAAGAAATGTATATTCTCTATGTTTATAGTGCTAAATAGTCCATTTTTTTTAAATCATTCATTCTAATAAGCTATGTTCTTATTTTCCAGCTGCCAACACGTCTTTTTCTATGGGATTCACTACCTCGTAATGCCATGGGAAAGGTAAAAATTATTTTCGCCTTTTTTTTTTTCAGTGATGACGAATATACTACGCATTACAATCTTTACTTTCCTTTTGTTTTACTTGCAGACCTTGTGATCGGGAAGAGTTTTTATGTTTTTCTGATATTGTGTTCCTAATAACAGGTGAACAAGAAAGAGCTGAAGAAAAAGTTGGCAGCTGAACAAGACGTTTAATTGCGTAGGTGCTCGTTTCTCCGACAAAATAATGAGAAGGGGTTGAAGAAGGAAATAAAGCGAAGCGTTGCAGCGTTGAGTTTTTTTTTTTCCGTTGCGAATCTGCCTTCCTGAGGTCGTAAAAGAAACAATGAAACATGTGATAGCTAGAAATTAGTTGGTTCATTTTCTTGGTTTAGAAAATAATTCTAGTGACAAGAGGCTGAGCTAGAAGCAAGAATTTCAGATTCTTATAAAAAATTGAAAAACAATAATGACATTTCTCCGTCGTCTCCAGAACAGATTATGTGACATTATAGAAGTCAGTTTGGAGACCGGAATAACTATACTAGTTTCCTAATGAGCATTCCGCCACATTTGTTGATTCTCTTTCGGGAATGCAAAACTTTGTATATTTTACCTATTGAAAGAAAAAGACGACAATTCCGTATGGGATTGGCGATACGTATGAGAGTTGGTAAATTGTTTATTTATAAGCTTTTAAGCTTTATTTGAGCTGGTAAATTTGCATCTTTTGACGCTTTTTTGTGTGAATATTTTTAACTTCGCAAACTATTTCTTGACTTTAATAAAGTTTGCATGATGTCTCCATGAAGCTTTTAGAATTTAGACGAAAATAACCTCTTCCAGGTCATGTAAGCTCGTTTGAATGATAAGTATTGAAATTTCGTTTGAATGAATGGCAATCTAAATCTCATTCCCTAGATATAAGATTTAGGATTCATTTGAGATAGCTTGTGTTTGTACTTTTAAATAGTAGAAGAAGATAAGTATAAGTGGGGGGTTTTTAATTAGTATTTAGATAGTGTTTGAAAAAGTATTTTTATATTTAAAAAGAGCTTTTGAATTTGTTTGAGTAAAAAAGTTAAAAGCATTTATTGTTATAAAAAGTAATATAATAAAATGATATGGATGAAATATTTAATTTGTTGTTCACAAATAAGAGGTTAAAAATATAAATAAAAGAGCTTTTCATAAACACTTTTTTTTATAAGCACCAAGAAGATGACTATTATATAAGTGCTTAAAAAGCTAAAAGTACTAAGGTTGTCAATCTAAACAGATTTAAAATCGTCTTTTAGACTAAGGAGATGTTTAGTTCAGTGATTAGAATTATTTTTTATTTACGTGTATTTTTTGTGAGAGAGAACACTGTAGCGAATCATGAACCATGATTTAAATCATGGTTTAAATCCTCCAACCAAACATCCCCTAAATAAACTAAAAGTAACTTTTTTTTAAGCTAATATAAACGGCCTGAAAAAAGGGTTAGTTTCATAAAAACAATCTTTGATCAAATGCTTTCAGCAGAAAAAATAAAAGGAAAAAAAACCTTTTAATCAAATGTCTAGAGAAAATTAGTAAATTCACCGACCTATAAATGTTAAGATTTTTATTATTTACTCTTAATTAATATTTTTTTGACTAATATAAATTTTTTATTAAAGGGTATTAATCAAGAGGTTTTTAGTGTATTTGCCCTTTACACTTGTCGTGGTTTAGTAAATTACCTCTCAAACTTTCAATTTTGACAAGACGCCTCCTCAATTTGTAAATTTGCTATAATACGCCCCATTTTGACGATGATTGTGTTAAATTAGTATAAAAAAACACGTTCAATTAAAAATTTTAACATCTCAATTCAAATATAACACATTTTTTAATTTCTCAACTTTTAATCCTTTAAATCTTATAAAAAATTTGAACAAATTTAATAAAATGAGGCACATTGTAATAAATTTACAAGTTTAGAATGTTGATTATCAAAATTAAAAGTTTAAAGAATAAAACTCATTAATCAATTGTAAATGTTAAAAAACTAAGATCTATGCATTATAAATGATATGTGTCTAATTTTTCCAACGACCTCCTACCTTCCCACTTTGGAGTTGTTGGGCGTGAAAACAAGAAACGACAAACAGAGTTGCTTTTCAGCTTCACAAAAAAAAAAAAAAAAAAAATTGCTTTTGAGAGAGCCGAGAGGAACAGAAATGGATGATAGCAAAATTCAGGAGTCAAGAAGATCGCTTGAAGGAAAATCCAAAGGAACCATGGGAACTGCTGTGGAGACCTCAAGTTCCGAAGGTCTACAGATCCTCCAAGCCCATCAGGGCTTTTTCCGCTGTCACTTTGTCGTTCCAGATCACCTCTTGGTAAAAATAAATCTAAATCGCATCCATTGATCCATTTCCCATCTTCCTTTTCCATTTCTTCTTTTTTTTTTTTTGCATAAAATATCTCCAAATTCACATTTCGGATGGGATTTATTAAGTTACTGTTGTTAATACGCGTTTGTAAATGTCAATTTATGTTATGACTGCACATTGCTCGTAGTTTATGTTATTTAAGTTTGTGACATACAAATTTAGGGTGTACACCTTGTTAGGATCAACATGGAAATTGGCACGCCGGAGCGATAGCCACGCTGATTGACATAGTCGGCGCTGCCGCCGTGTACTCTATTGCGGGTCATGCCCAAGCTTCCGTGGACTTCACTGTCTCATTCTTCTCAACGGCCAAGTTTCAAGTGATCACATTCATTTTTCTTGTCTTAATTTTGAATGAATATACATTGTTTTTTTTTTTTTTTTTTTTTTTCCAATTAAAATGATGATTCTACTGAATAGTATTCAATTTAATCCTTATTGACAGGAAGAGATTGAAATAGAGGCCAAGGTTGTCGGAGGACAGGGAAACCTTATAGCTTTTGTGGTGGAAATTATAAGGAAAAGTAGTGGAGAACTTATTGCCATTGGTAAGCAATGGACGACCACAAAACCTCAAGCGAGAAGCAGTAGGCTCTGACTTAAGCTTTTTTAGTTTAGTTTATATGGTGATTTTTCATGGTTTTAAAGAGAAGAACGATGTTTACCAAAAAAAAAAAAAAAAAAAAGAGAAGGATGAACGATATTCTTATAGATCCATCTATAGATATTATTATTTTAATCGTGAAATATTGATTCGATAGTTATAATAAATTAGATATTTTATAAAAAAAATTATAATAATTAATGAAATTGAATTTTTATCGCGTCATGTCATTAAATTTTTATATTTAGTAGTAATCATAAATAAAAATATAACCATTAAAAACTCGTCTATATATATATATGTATGTGTATTTGCAGTTGAGTTTATTAAATGGAAAGATTAGCAGACACTTTTTCTAACAATTTGTGCAAAATGATTAAATCATAATTTATATCGAGCCCCCGAAAGACCTTCCAACAGTAATTATTTTATTGTGCCGTCTAATTAAAGATTAAACGTATGAACTCGGCTTAAATCTAACATGTTTTAACTGTTGGGTCAAATCAAAATCTTATCAAGAGTAACGCTTTTTTTTTTTTCATCCCCCGTCACATTCCCTGACAATGTCTTCTAAGTTCATGCCTATATGTTTATCCCCGTAACTTTAGGTCTACAGGCCCATTTAACGAACAAAAGGTAAAACAGATTCATCAAAACTCATTACAATAGCAAGAAGCTAACAGTGATAGCCACAGCGACTCCTATCGATGTAATCAGAAACGCAAACTCTACTTCCCTTATGCTTTTGTAATTTAAGTTTGATAATTTGAATTGAAAAGTGAATTTATTTAAGAGGAAATATTTAATAAAAAATTAAATTTAAATTTTTATTAAAAAAACACATTAAAAAAAATTGATTTGTCGTTCGGACTGTAAAACCAGCCAGGCCTCAATTTATAGTTGACATAACTCTCAGGCCTGTCTCATTGAAAAGGGTAGTTTCGTAGAAAGTAGTTTGTAGCTGGGGCATTGTCGTCATATAATAATGACCAGACAAACATTGATAAACAAACCAACAGAAAAAAGAAAGACGAGAGAGAGAGAGAGAGAGAGAAAATGGAAGACAGTAATCTGCAGAAGTCCCGACAGTTGATTGAGGATCTATCAAAAGGTGTCGTAGGGAGTGAGCTGGAGATCTCAACTTCTAAGGCCTCAAAGTCATCGCAGCCCACAAAGGTTTTTTCCTCTGTCACTTCGTTGTACCCGATGACCTTTCGGTAAAACTCATTCACATCCATTTGACTTGATTCATTTTCTGTTTTATCCTTCTCTTTTGTGATTTTTACCTCGCGGCTAGGGCTATGCTTTGCAACATGTTTTGTATTTTGTCCAAATCTAACATTCAAAAACATAATAAAATACTAACTTACCTTGAAAAGCTCATTCTTTGCACATAATTCTTTCCTGTCTACTGTAGAGGCCAATTATGTGATAGGAAATGCCAATATGAGTTTTTGAACATTAAGTAGTATGCTACTTTAGAAATTTATTATTATGGGACTACTTTAATATGTTACTAGTATTTTTGTTTCCCACCATGTAAGTATTCTCCTCTTCTTTAAGGTCACATATGGATCATGGTCTTTAATTTTTACCTTCTTAGGACCAAAATGGAAATTGGCAAGCTGGAGCAATAGCCACGATGATCGACAACGTTGGTGCTATCGCTGTACACTCTTTAGGTGGTCCTGCTCGAGTGTCTCTTGACTTCAGTGTTTCATACTTCTCAACGGCTAAGTTTAAAGTGATCACTCTCTCTTGTTGTTAGAGGGTACATTTCTTTTTTATTTTTCTGTTAGTGGTAATTTCACAAATATTATCAATTATTATTTACAGGAAGAGATTGAGATAGAGGCCAAGGTTGTAAAAGAACGGGGAAGGCTCATACTTCACGTGGTGGAAGTTAGAAGGAAAAATGGTGGAGAGTTGATTGCCATTGGTAAGCAATGGATGGCCTCAAAAGGCCAAGCGAGTACTAGTAGGCTTTGACATAATTTTGCCACAGTTTGGTTTAGGGCTTTTCTTCCATGAAAGAGAGAGAAAGCTATTGTATTTATATTGTCAATTGTATGGAGATTTGTAAAACTTACCTGCGTTTTCTAATGAACTTTTGTTAAATTACAAAAAAAAAAAAAAATCACGAGAACTATGGTGGAATTTCATATAAGGAAGGCAAACAAACAAAATTAAAATAAATAAATAAATAAATTTAAGTGAGATGGCCGTCAAGATATCGCTCCACTCCGATCACAATAATAGTATTTTATGTTGCTTACATTGAGCGAGGAACCACAATCCAACTGTAACTACATGCAATATTTCCTTTAAAGATACCGCCAAGAATAAGGATTCTTTCTGGATTTTTATGAATGTCTATATTGAATTGTATTACATCATTTGTGAAGATAACATGTTCAGCCAATTAGACAAGTCCAAACATATTTGCACAGTGGAAAAAATATTTCAAACTGATCAAGAAAGGTTTCATTTATTAGTCTAGCAGTCTAATCCAGAATAAAGCACGGAATTCTATTGACTCAGTCAATTGTATAATATATGTTATATCAAACAAAAATTTCATCAATTGCAGAACATTTTGTTCTTCCTCCTTTCCTTCACCTCTATTGGCATTCCTAGTAGTGTCAAAGGGATTTCAGGTGCTTGGGATTACCAGGTTCTAAAAAGAATTTAGAATCAAATATATATGTGTGTGTGTGTGTGTGTGTTTTTCTCTTTTCCTTGGTGAAAGTGCACCAATAACTTTGTGCAAATAAACCAAGTGGCGGAATTTTTCTTTTTCTTTTTTTCTTTTTTTTTTTCCTTTTCAAATTGATGAAGATGACAAGTTTAATATAAGGAATCGATTCAAACAACGTAATAAAACAACCCACTCATTAATATTATGAATACATACTTTATATGATACAACAATCTTTGACAATGTCAATACCTTCCCACTTCCAAGTTGGGTCATATATAGAGACAAAAATATTTTCATAAAACAAACCTAGATTGAGAGAATGAAAGACAACAAACTTCAGGAGTCTCAAAAATGGCTTGAAGATCATTCAAAGGGCGTCATAGGAAGTGAATTGGTGACTTCAACTTTGGAGGGCCTTCAGGTGGTTGCATCCCATGAAGGCTTTTTCCGCTGTCACTTCCTTGTACCGAGTAGCCTTTTGGTATTACCTTTTACTTAATTTTCTGGTTTTATAAGGTTGTGACATACAATAATTTATATGGTCTTTGTTACCTTCACCTGTCTTAATTAGGATCAACGTGGAAACTGGCACATCGGAGCGATAGCCACGTTGATCGATAGCGTAGGCGCCGCCACGGCACACTCGTTGTTTGGTCCCATCAGAGCATCCGTTGACTTTATCATCTCATACTTCTCAACGGCTAAGTTTCAAGTGATCATTTTCTCTTGTCTTGGTTAACTTGGGATAGTTTTCTGGTTAATGGTGATTTTTTTTTTTTAACTGAATAGTAATTGTTGTTGACAGGAAGAGATTGAGATAGAGGCCAAGGCTGTAAGAGGACAAGGAAAGCTTGTAGGGTTTATGGTGGAAGTGAAAAGAAAAGGTAGTGGAGAATTGATTGCCATTGGTAAGCAATGGATGGCCTCAAAAGGTCAAGAGAAAAGTAGTAGGCTTTGAAATAGTTTTGCTACTTTATGCCTTCTCTTTCACAGAGAAAGGAAAGCTAATGTATCATATATGTTTTGTAGTTTCATGGTTTCACCTTGGAGACAGATTTTCAAGATTAGCAAGCACTTTCTATGAATTTTTGCTAAATTATTAAATCATAGTTTAAGTTGTTTTTCACTATCTAAGAACCACATTCCAACTAGAACTAATTTCATATTCATTGACACATAATAGGGATTTCGTTTTTGATTTTTATGGATGTCTTTATTCAATTGTAGCACAACACTTGTCAAAATAACATGCTAAAACATTTCAGCCAATAAGATGAGTCCAAATATATTTTCAGATAGAGAAAATGAAGGTGTTCGTCACTAGTCTTGCAGTCTAATCCAGGCCAAAGCTCTGAATTCCATTGACTCAGTCAAGTAAATAAAACATGATATATCAAACAAAAATTTCAACAAGTACAAGACATTTTCCCTTCACCTCTAAAGACATTCCTACTCTTTTCAAGGGATTTCAAGATCTTGGGACAACCAGCTTTTTTAAAAGAGTTTAGAATCAAAATTCAGTACACTTTTTTTTTTTTTTGGTGAAAGTTTTAACACCAATAACTTTGTGCAACTTACCATATTGTGAGTGATTTTCTTGAATTTATGAAGACGACAAATATTACAATCCGGTTATAAGGAATCGGATTCAAACGAATTGATAAAACAATGGCCTCCAAAAATTTGTTGCCGCAGCAGGCCTAGTGGACAAGGACAAATAGGAAACGCTCTCACCAAATTTATAACATAACAATCTTTGATTCTCACTTCTAAGTTGGTCATAAAGAGACAAAATATTTCACAAAATTAGACCTACTTTGAGAGAATGGAAGAGACTATTCTGCAGAAGTCCAGGAGATTGCTTGAAGATCTGTCAAAGGGCTTGATAGGAAGTGACCTGTTGACCTCAGCTTAGCAGGGCCTTCAGGTTGTGGCGGCCCATGAAGGCTTTTTCCTCTGTCACTTCCTTGTACCAAGTAGCCTTTTGGTATTGCCTTTTCCTTTTTTTTGTTTCCATAAGCTTTTGTGTGACATGCAATAATTCATGCTCTGTGTCACACTTTTTCCTGTCTTAGGATCAGCATGGAAATTGGCACGTCGGAGCGATAGCCACGTTGATTGACAGCGTCGGTGGCACGGCGGTGCTCTCGTTTTCCGGTCATGTTAAGGCATCCATTGACTTCAGCATCTAATACTTCTCAACAGCTAAGTTTCAAGTGATTAGTGATTACTCACTCCTTTAATTTGCCTTGACTAACTTAGCATATATACACATTGTTTTCCTGTTATTGGTGATTTTTACTGAATAGTAGTTGTTATTGACAGGAAGAGATTGAGATAGAAGCCAAGGTTGTAGGAAACCAGGGAAAGCTTATAGCTTTCAGGGTTGAAGTTAGAAAGAAAAGTAGTGGAGAATTGATTGCAATTGGTAAGCAATGGATGGCAATAAGTTCAGGGAAGGCCAAATGAGCAGGCTTTGATTTAGATTTGCTAAGTTTATTCCCTTTAATTTTTCAATAGAGCATACTAAGATTAAGACATTTTTGTGCATAGAAAGGGAACTGCTTTACTCATCATGATTTTCATGGTTTCAATGTGGAAAAAAGTTATCCTGTTAAAAAGCAAAGAAAAATGTTGGGGCCCATACCGGGCAATTATTATAAGCAGGCACTTTTGTGATGATTTATTATGAATGAAGTATGCCAGTTTTCATAATTAAAGGAGACACCTTTTGACAGTAACTATTTTCTCACTCATTTAACTGAAGAAACTGCCAAGTAAGAGTTTGGAGTAGGTGCTAAGAGGAGGAACTTTTTTGTAAATATTCGTGTTGAATTATAACACGGTCAAGACCGTTTCAGGCATATAATATTTTTACATAGATTGGAAATAATTACACACTCAAAAGGCATTTAGAAAGAGACCAAAAGCAATCTAATCCAAGGTCACAGTAATGAATTTCATTAACTCGGTGAATTGTATAAAACCATATATATCATATATATATATATATTATGAAAAAATACCGCCGGCTCATATTATTAAAGAACAAAAAAGAGTAGTAAAGCTACAAGCATCTCAAAATCAAGTAAATCTCTAAAATGGTAAACTTATGTAATCTTTATACACATAGTACTTCAAAGAATTAGGACAATAAGACTACCACATTCTATTACAATTAATAATTCCAAGATTAGCAAGTTTATCCGCACATCCATTAATTTCACGATACACATGAGAAAAATGAAAATCCATTCTTATGGATAAAGAAACAGCCCTGCTCCACTCATTACGCAACTTCCAAGAAACCTGCAAAAACTTAAAACTCAAAAGACAAATGATCAAGGAGGAATCACTCTCAAGCCACAATTTATGCCAACCATTCTCAAAGGTAATAGAAATTGCATTGATCACAGCCCACAATTCAGCTTCAAAGGCAAAACCATTCCCAAGAAAGACACTAAAGCAATCACAAACAAACCCCCTAGCATTCCTGAAAATACCTCCACAAGCAATCGGATCAAGGGCTCCTTTAGCTGAACTATCAATGTTGACTTTCACCCACCCGGAAGGAGGAGGAATCCAATAAACAAGGAAAATCTTTGGACTTCTAGGAAAATTTTGACGAACATATAATTTGTTAAGAATACGAATTTCAAAAGCGGAATTATAAGAATAACCCAACTTGAAAATCTTGAACGACTTGATATGGCTAAGAATAAACGCACAAGCAGCAGTTGGACTCACACTAGCCCCTTCAAAAGGCACCATGTTCCTTAGATCTCAAATAAACCAACAACATACCATAAAAAAAAAAAGCCAAAATTTCTTCACTATAGGACTAAAATTAACTCTTAATACAGAATGACCAATTTCAAACAAAAATTTCAACAATTACATGACATACAAAAGTAAGTTATGACCAATTCACTATCACACAATCACCAAAAAGAAAGCATACAATCACTGTTAATACTGCAGCAAGCCTAGGAGCAATCAAGCAGGAAAGAAAATTCACGGAGTTCTTCTTAGATAGGTAACTGATCTTTTCTCTCTTCTTTTCCTTCATCCCTAAGCATTCTCCCTACCTTGGACATTTCTTCTTCCCTTGTGCCATTAGGCTCATCCGTAACTTTTTTCATTTGTTCTGCACAAGGTCCATAAGCCCAACTACAGAACAGATAGTAAAACAGATTCACAAAACTCATAATAGCAAGAAGCCAATAGTAATAGTCATAGTGACCCCTATTGATGTTATCAGAAACCCAACTCTCTTTTCCCTTTCTTGAAGTTGCATTATCCACGGCGCTTAGAACTACGCTCGCCAACAGGCTCGCCACGGCCATTCCCAATCCGAAGAGAGCAGAAGCAATGCTTGACATGCTCTTGGGAAACTCTGAGTAGTAAAACTCCGTCTGGCCAATCCCGTTGAAGGCTTCTGCCAAGCCATTCAAGCAGTGTTGTGGGATGAGCCACATAGCCGACATCCCCACAACTGCGTGGGGATTGTTTAGGAAGCCTTCTCGTATCACCCTCCTGCGTCGAACATTCTCCACCACCGCGGAAACCACCATTGCCAAGAATGAGAAAATTAGCCCAATTCCCATCCTTGTTTTCACATCAATCCTAACAGACTTGCCTCGGATTTTCAAACCTAAAGGTAGAATTACTCGGTCATAGATAACAACCCAAAGAGCCAAAGAAATGACCACAAACATGGCAAAGGAAGCAGCCGGGACTTGGAAACTTCCCAAATGTCTATCCATGGATTTAGCTTGAAGTAATTGGAAGGTGCTTTGGCTAACGTTGATGGACATCATAATCCCTGTAGACCAAATTGGTATGACCTTGACAAGGGCCTTAAGCTCCTCAACTTGCTCAACTGTGCAGAGATTCCAAGGATTTGAAGCCGACCCATCTGGGGCAATGTCTTGTTCATGATTTCTAATTATACAAGCTTTATTTAAACACCTACAGTTAATCATAATTGTCACCAAAAAAAAAAAAGAAAAAGAAAAAAAGAGGTCCATAATGTGTTAGCTTTTTTATAACATTGACAGTGACAACTCCAAAAAATGTGATTATACCTTAATTTGTCTGTTGGCGCAACATCCTCAGAGTCCTTCTTGTGGTGATAAAGATTGTGTGAGTTCCCAGATGGGAATGAAAGTTTCCTGTTCTTGTAAGCAACCACAACCACTTGGGCAAATCCAGTGAACAAGCTCTTACTGGCCTTGTGCTTGACATAAAGAGAAGAGGCAAGGAAGAACAAGACAGTGGCAAAAAGCATAAGAAGTGCAGGAACTCCAAAACCCAATTTCCATCCAAGTTTTTCTTGGATATAGACTATGGCAGTTAAGGCAATTATGACAGAAACAGCAGCTGAAGCATAATACCAATTGAAGAACCTTTCTAGAACCCTTTGGTTCTTGGGGTTGTCTCTTTTGTCAACTTGATCTGCTCCAAATGCTAAAGAACAAGGCCTGATTCCACCAGCTCCAATGGCCATGAGAGCAAAGGAAAGTACTAGAATTGCCATTTGGGAACTTGCTGGGGATTTGCAGATTTGTGTTAATATGTCACATGAAGAAGGCCTTGACCTTGGAACCATGGCTGTCAACCAAAGGAGAGTCATTCCCTGTCATTAAAAAAAACATTGATTTACTTTTTTTTTCTGTGGGGGGGATTCAAAAACCAAAAAGGTATTATCATCATTAAACAGCACTAAAAAAAACATTGATTTACTTTTTTTTTTTCTGTGGGTGGTTAAACAGCACTAACAACAGTGCCTATCTGCAAGCATCACACTAGTCTGGGACTCAAAAAGCACTTTTTATGTCCAAAGACTTTTAAAGTGGAGGGCGATAGAGACTTAAATCTCATATAGGATAATCAGTTGAGAAAAAAGGTGAAAGATAATCAGTGGATAATTATGTTTGATTCACTAACTAACTAAGACATGCAATTGATTTAAAGAAAAAAAAAGGAAGTTGATTTTCACCATGAAACTGGCAATGGAACCGAAGCCTATGGTGAGGAAGCGACCCAGATAAGAATCAGAGAGGAATGCCCCAATAAGAGGCATGAAATTGATAGCTGCTGACCATAGGAAGATAATGCTTGCTCCTTTGGCTAATCCCACATGATAATCTTTCATCAAATACAGTATCATGTTTGGCAAAAGCCCATAGGTTGCCACCTTCTCAAGAGCTTCATTTACTGCACCAAAAAATAAAAATAATGAAAAAAAAACCAAATATAATAGAATATTCAAAACGGATCACTATATATATATATACACACACACACGCACATTTTATTTATGATTTAATGTACCTATGATAAAGGGCATGGTTATGAGGCCACCCTTTGGTCTCTTGGCAGGAATGAGTTGGTTGGTCATGTCTTCTTCTACATCTGGAGAATGATTCTGATCCATCTTCTTTTCCATTACTAGCTAGCTACTATGGCTTGATTTCCACTTCTGGAATGAGGAAAGACTTACCAAAGAGAAGCACAACAGAGAGTAAGTGAGTAACAACAACAACAACAATAATAATATCTTTTGCGATCTGAGTGATTTCACAGCTGATCGTCTGGCTCGAGTCCAAGACAAAGAAACATCTCTTTGCGTGTAAGAGAAGATGTAAATATATATAAATATATTTATAAGGTACTAGTGTAGTAGGAGTAGTAGTACAAGTACATCTTGGACCGAGGAATAGCTAGCAATAAGAAAGAGAGAACATAGCAGAGATGCTAAAAGAGAGAATTAGATAAAGAGAGGACAACACCCCATGATCTTTACCATCTCTCCTGTTGGTCTCTGTCCCACCCAAAAAACAAGAGTATTCTATGTGGACTTCAATAATATACTCGTATAGAGTAGTACTACATTAATTAGTGTGGTCGTATGTAAGTAGAAGGAAAAGGAAAGAAAGAGAGGTGTTTTTGTTGTCGTTGTTATTTTTTTTTTTTTTTTTAAGGATTAGTTTTAAATTGGATCCCAAAAGATAATGGATGTCTCCTTTTGTCCCGTATAACTTAAAATGACTCAAAAGTCTCTCTAAATTTACAATAAATAGCAATTTTTATTAACGAAAGTATTTCGTTACAACTTATAATAAGCTCTTAAATAGTTTTGTGACATTTTAAATTATATATGGGCTTTTTTTTATTCTTCACTATTTTTATGAGAAAATTTCCCTCACCGTAAAAGATTAAAAGATTATTATAATCAATTAAATGATTAACGTAATTTTCTTATATTATGTAGTAACAGTTATTATTTTGATAACCAAAAGTTATTTTTAAGTATATGACAAATAAAACACTGTCATGTACTGTTCCAAATAAATATTCATGCATAATCGGATGTGTCTATAAAAAAAAACATAATATATGTAATTCTTCACGATAATATTATTCAAATTTAAAACGACAATTAGTTACGATGAAATGACTAATATTAATAGTAAAAAAACAATCGTTTATTGATGTGACTTTTAATATCTTTCATGTAATTATTCATAACAGGTGTATATAACAATCGTTTATTACTATATATTTGAAAATGATTTTTAATTTCTAAAATAATAACTGTTATGACTCAATATAAAAAAATTATAGTAAGCCTTCAGCCAATTAAAATTGATACATAGACTCGTTACGATAACACATAAGAAATTTGTCTCTTATTTTCAAATTGAGAGACTATAGACAACTAAGAGGACGTTTGATTTATGTATTCAGAATTATTCTCATTTTATATATATTTTTTTATAAAAAAAAATATTATAAAAAACTATAAATCATTATTCAGAATAATAAATGTCCCCTAATATATCTAGACCAAAGTGTGAAAACCGCTATGTTTCAGGGGCAATTTTGAAATTACATCTTTAAAAATATTTGTATTAGAGAGTACAATAATGAGGGATGTTAGAGGAGATATAAAGTGGCAGGCTTCACAATAAATAGGATGGTCCCACCATTTCTTTTGCTTATTCCAGCTTCTTGGCCCCAGTCACAGGTCAATATCACTGCAAGAGTCCTGCAAGTTCATAAAGGTCCAATGACAAGACGGATTTTAGGGTTATTTTTTTTATAGCACTGAAATTCGGCCATGCCTTGTCCACATGCACGTGGATTTAACTTATTTACAGTACCATGTTACTGCTGTTTCTCCATATACACACTTTTTTTTTTAACCTGTTACCTGTTTCTGATGTGGCAGTGGGACATATATACAGACCACTTTTTAACTTTCTTGGTAAATGGGATTTTCCGATTCAGGTTCCTGAAAATAAATTATCTATTTATTTATCCCTTGTTCTTTTACAGTATTTGTATCTTTCCCTCGTCTTGTATTTTTTGCATTTTTTGGTATGGTTTGTAACTTTTGGGATCGAGCTTAGATCTCTGATTTTGACTTTACATAATTTTTCCCCTTTTATTTTGGCTTAAAGATTGACTTTCCAGATTTAAGATGCAGAATGTTTTTTTTTTTTTTTTTTTTAATTAAAAACGGAGAACCCAGCAATCCTCTTGTTCATGCATTTGAGACTCTTTTCATATGTTACATTTTATCCGAAGAATATTAATTATTGAACTTCATGTCCCCCCACAGCCAAAAAAAAAAAAAAATTAAAAAAGGGTTTTCTTGCTGAGTTTTCTTTTTTCCTTTTCCTTTGCACCCGCTAACGAGAAAATGGGACTTTCCTCTTACCATATATCTCACACTCAACCAGTGTATAGTGCCAGCCAAATCCATTGACTAAGACATAAGAACAGAAAAAATAACATAGATTAGATTGTCAAGTTATGAACAGTTGTTTAGAAAATCATGTAAAGTAAAATCTATAACCATGTTCAGATGTGATATGGCCTTTCATAGTATGTTTTTTTTTTTTTTTTTTCATAAAAAACTATTACAAGGATATATAGAGAATATCGTAATAGATAATCTCAAAGAAATAGTGCATTTTTCTGTGAAATATGGATTGGCTCTATTCATTTTAACGATTTGAGTTTTGTTATAATAAAAAGTTATAAAAAACAATCACATTTAATTTTTTTACTACAGTAAAAAGTTTTACATAAAATAATGTCTCAACTCGAATTAAAAACTTAAATCAGCAGACTAAATGAGCCTAAAATAAATTTCTCATATTTTTTGTCAAAAGAAATAATGCATTTTCGCGTGAAATATGAATCCCTCGCAAGGTAATTTTCTCATATTCCTTGTCTACTATGGTGAAATTAATAAACTTAAATCTTGTCAAGACAAGCAATTAGTCTTACCAACGAATGACCGATGACACGATGGTGCCTTTCACACTCATAATAGATCCATTTTATCTGAAAATTTTCTCTCACAATAGTTAATATTTGCATTTTTTTCTTGGTAGAATTATAGTTGGAGATCACTCCATTCATTAATTTTTTAAATTAATTTTAAAAATTTCTCCCAAACTATAACTCTTATAACACTTTGCCTCTCAAATTTTAAAGTAACATTTGTTCTTCTCAAATTTTATTATGTTAACAAGTTTTATCCTTCTGTTACAATGAGTGGTGGAATTGCCACGTGCCACTTATTTAGTGAGAATTGGAAGTGCAATTACGCTTATACCTTCATAATCCGATGATTCTCTTTTTCATTGAAAAAATTCACCATTTTCGTTCTCATTTTACTTTTTTTTTCCTCACTTCGTTCATCCATAGCAAGTTCCACTATATCTACCTTCTCCTCCTCCTCTTCCAGGCCAGACAATTTTAACTGATACTTGAATGAGAATCTCAAAAATGGTGTCGTCTTGTTTGTCGTCGTCGTTGCCGTTGATTTTCCCACCGCGAGGCCTCCTCCAGCCACCGAGATCGGCGGCGTTATTACATGAATCCATGTTTTTAGATACAAACTATCCATTTCTTCTTGTAATACTCATGTGTTTGAAATTCATCTGTTTTGTTTGAGATTTCTCTGTTCCTTACTATTTACGAAGGAAAGAAATGTAGAAGATTGTAATTGTATCAGTGTTAGACAAGCTTAACACAACCAAAAGGCAAAAATGAGAGAGAAAAAGGGAGAGAGAACTGATTATTATGCAGAACCAAAAAATGAAAAACTTAATTTTTCTTCAGATTTTTCTTTTTGGGGGAAAAATTCTAACCCTAATACAACAAAAAAATCGACAAAATGAGGTTTTTTTTAACGCATTTGAGTTTTTTTTTTTTTTAAATAATCTAGAGTTGTTGCAAGTTAATTTACGATAATACTCTTTTAGATGGGTAATGTATCTGACACGTGACGATTTTCGTCATTCATTGTAACAAAAAGATAAAATTTGTTAACGGAACAAAATTTAAGAACAATGAATATTATTTTTTTTAAATTCAGAGAGTAAAATATTAAAATGATCATAATTGGGGAGAAATTATTTCTAATGTTTTTGGTTTGCCACAAAAACGAGCGTCGATTCTTACGTGATCTAGACGACACTGCACCTACGCTTTACTCTTTACTTTACACTATCGTTGCCCAACTTGCTCTTCCGCAATCAATCATCTTTAGTGGACCTCCTCACACACACACAGACACTCTGGTGGAGCCCTGAAAAAAAAAAAAGAAAAGAAAAAAAAGAGAGAGAATAAACATTTATTGCCACTGAATACTACCAGTCTACTTAGCAAAGTACCATGCCCCTCATAATCTAGATTTTTGCGTGTTGAATTTCATGGTAGTCCCTCTCAAACTTTCTGTCACATGAGAGACTCAAAAAAAAAAAAAAAAAAAAAAAAAACCCCCCAAACGGGTTCAAAACTTTTCTTCAACAGAAGAAACAAAAAAAAAAAAAAAAAAAAAAAAAAAGCCCCTCAATCTGCGAAGTCTCCAGATTAATTGAATGCAGCTGTTATCAAGTAAGAAATGGTTTCACACTTACAGTTAGGTCTAGAAATGACATTCTATCTTCTCCCATTAACGGTTTACTCAGACCATACAAACGCAGAAAGAAAATGACGTGATCAGCTACAATAATGCAACTGATTAACTGATTAGCGGACGGCAAACTTGTTTCTCTTCTTGCTTTACTTTACTACATTGCAAAGACGAATTTTCAATAATTACATTTTTATTAATAGTCACTTATAGAATGCGTGGTCATAAATCTTTTTAAGACTACATCCAATTGAAATGGTATACAAAACTTTAAAAAAGAAAAAGGAAAAAAACTATAAGATCTCGAAATTTAAAATAGATCTCCTCCTCCTCACTTAGTTACAACGGTTCAAATCCATTTGCAATTAGCCCATCTTTCTATATTTGGAACCTAAACTAATGCATGTTATGTGTAACTGGTTATTTTGGTAGATTTCCAAATTCACTTGAAAAAAGGGATAGAAAACCTCTGAAATTCATGGTAAAAATTATACCTTCACTTTAATACAATATATGTTCTCTGAACTAACTAAAAGAACATTATTGCTTGTAAAAAAAAAAAAAAAAAAAGTAACAGAACATTATTCTTAAAAAAAGAAAAAAAAAATAAGAAAGGGTGATTGAGATGTCAGTAATGCAAATGAATTCCAAAAGCCCCAAGCAAAAAAGAAAAAGAGAAAAGGAGGAAAAAAAAAATGCCCGAAAGCAAAACCCTTTTCTGTTTTGTTATTGAACTTTTGATCTACAAGCATTTGAGACGAGATGTGGACTGTGGAGCCGTGGAGGGTTGGAATTGGCCCACAATACTAAAGTCCGCTTAGAGTTACGGGCTTGTAGGGCCCATTATGTGTGGTATGGCCGACCATTCTCGAGCTCCTTTGTCCAAACCCATATGGAACAAAGCGTTAGGGGAACCTTTGACTGCTGCTTTGAAAACATAATCCCTGTTTATGTAGTCCCACGTATTGATGTCTCTAGTCTCGTAATATTATATTCCCTTGTAAACGTCAAAAACCTAATTTATACCAAAGATTATTCCGTACTTGTAAAGAAGTTTTCTTGTTACATATAAACACTACTTTTTTGGTTTACGGTTCACTAAATTTATATTACCAAATATAACTTTCCAACAAAAGAATGGGAAGGAAAAAAAAAGTTGGAACAAAAAAAGTGAACATTTTCACATGGGTGTTAGTTTTCGACTTTCTAACAATGGACCAACCAATCCACTATTGCATGATCATTATGTAAAATGGACGCACCTTTCAGGCTTTTATGTCAGAGAGGGTCTTTTGGTCACTTAATAAACGCATGTGAAGCATCACTTTTACTTAGTAGAAAATATACTATAGTTTAGAAAAAGAATCATCTACTTTCTACATCTTTTTGAATGGAATAAATCTTTACTTCGAAAAGAGGAGGAAAATGGAGGACAAAGATAAATTTCCAAACGGGATGTAGCTGAACAAGCCCAAGCCGTGCGTCTAATAAAGGGCCAGAGTGCGCAGATTGGCAATCACGAACATTTTTTTTTTTGGGTCGTTTGGAGATGATTACTATAGAAATGTGGAATTCCTTTTAGAAGTCAGGACAAATATTTTATGGTTTTTTTTTTTTTTTTTTTTTTCCAAGTTATAAAAAAAACAAAACAACAATCGCTGGAAAGATCTTACATGGAGAAACGACACATCTCTTTCATTTTTTGTTGTCGTTTAACAAAATTTGCCATCGTTTCGTTTCGACATCGATAAAATTTCACTCTCGTAATAAAGAAATGTCGTATCATGCACGAAGTTTGTTGTTGTCTGTTTCAAATAAATGAGATGCAGTTTATAGTCCAATTTGTGGCATTTAGTTGAAACCACAATAAGTTGGAAAGCAGGAATTTTCCGGCGGCAACAACAATAAAAGAAATACGAACTCATTTTATTGGATGACGCGTGTCGATTTTTTTTTAAGCAATGAGAAACGGCATGTCATTTACTATTGTCTTTTATTAATACAGACGACATGTAGTTTGTTGTCCAGAATCTGTGTCGTTAGAAAGAAACTACAATTCATGATTTCTTCCTCTAGGAAAAAAAAAGGTGAATTCTTTGAAATAATATGGTTGCCTACTGTATTTGTGTATGCTTTACAGGAAAAAGAAAAAAAAAAAAAAGGAACGTGTTTTCAAGTGATTATAGTAAAATTTTGATTAGACTAGAATATGAATTAATACAACCTTTTACTTCATATTCAGCAACATAAATTCCGTGTAGTGTATGTATGAATAAATCCTTACACAATACAAAACTAAATTGATGGGATTTTTATGAGGCTCTTTTCGAGCCGTCAGATCTATATTAGATTATGTCACGTTTGCAAATCTTTTGGTTTTGATGTGTTTTTATCAAATCTAACATTACAGAACTCCTTTTATATAATACAGTAGTGTCACTGTCACAGCCCACACACAACAAAGATGCTCATCCAGTGTGGTTTGAATAAGGAAAAATCAAGATTGCTTTCAATCTAACATAGTGGTTTAGTGAACAAAGCGGAGCAAGTGGTGATGGTTGGAAATACGAGTTGATATTTCAAGTTGCAACGATTAAAAACTAACCAAAGCAGGGAAATAGCTCTTGTTGGAATAGACATGTTTACACTGCTGTTCTACTGCCATCATCGAGCGGAATGGATCCCTAGTCCCGACCATCAAGCATTATGCTCACACCATTCTTGTAAGCTTGATGTTGCAACTCCGACATTCTTCATATCATATATGTTGGCTGGTTCAGGAAAATATATATTTTCCACGTCAGTCACATGTATTGTTTAGCCGTCCATCTTTGAAGAGACAATAATGATCCGTAAGAAAGTATGACATTCTTCAAACACAAGTTATGACAATGAAGGTAAAGCTTGCTTATTGCATCTTTTTTATGACAGCAAGGACAGAGAGAACAGCTAACCATGCCTTATTTGTACAATGGAAATGTTATGGTAGAAACCATAAATTGTTTTATGTCAGCATTACCAAATTCAAGATTGTACTAGCTCATTGCCGCAGGATACCTTTTAACTTTTTTATGGATTACTATTGGTTATGAAATTAAAAAAAAAAAAAAATTGTTGTTTTGTTCCCCAAAGTTATTTCTCCCGCAGTTTTTTCAGCTCGAAGAGATCAAAGTGCTGTAGATTTCAAATAACAATACCTTATTTTCAGCTCATTACCTAACAGAACTTCAAAGGGTAAGGTCAGGAAGAGGGAACTTTTCTTAAAATCCTGACTCCAAGTTGTTCAAGAATAATGGCTTTGAGTTTCTGGACCGTTTACTTTTGGATTAGTCAGTTCTATCTATCGATGGTAGACAAGAGAATATAACTCAGCTGTAGTATCTTTTGAAATGGTGGAAGTTATCAGTTTGAGTTTGACTATCCCTACACCCAATGTGAGTTATTCTTGTGAACTCCGGCGACATGATTTCGTGTCTTAGGAGGATCTATATTGAACCTTCATTCAGTAATTGCTGCAGACCCTAAGCCAATGAACAGTACTTGTTCCCAACCCATTATTTTAATACCCGATTTCACCCTGAATGCAGGAAACCAAACCAGAACAAATTACACTCAAAACAACCTCAGAAATTGTAATTTCATAAGATGATTTTAAGTACCACCACCTTTTTTTCAAGACAAATTGTCAACTTTATCAATTCTGAAATAAAAGTTAAACAGAACAAACAAAAATCCAACACTATCTAAATGACAGAAAATTCATACCGGCGTGTATCTCAGGTGTAGCGGCAGCCGTGGCATCAACAATAACTGTAACAGGCTGGTAATCCAAAGCCACGGCATCAAACACAGTCTGCCTTATACAGTTTGGAGTCTGAACACCTAAAATATTGAAATCTCAGCTTAGAAAATCACAAACCTTTACCCAATTCTTTGGTCGGTGGGAAACAGGTTTTAACGATCATTACTAAGTTCTGTTACTTATCATACTTCTTTTATGATCTAAAAACTGTATCCTACCCACAGTCTTTTCATACCTTGCCACAAAATTCTAAAAATAAATAAATAAATAGCATTTTATTTTTCTAGATTTCTATTAAATTTCGCCAAATCATCGTACTTCTTCTGAGTTCTGACGACAAAAAACTGTATACTCACATAATTCCAAAAAAAAAAAAGAACAATTTTCTTTTCTAGCATTGAAAATGTAGAGAAAATTCTTGACATACCAGTGATAACCAAACTATCAATGCCAGCACCCTTAAGAAATGAATGAAGATGAGTAGCAAAGAAAGCACTAAAACGGGTCTTCACCAATTTATAATCCCCTTCTTCAATCACCAGCCCTTCAACTAGCTCTCCACCCACACTTCCCTTAGCTGTGGGTCCCACTTTACCATCACCATATAAGTGCCTTCTAAACAGTTCAACATCTCTCCCTAACGGGTCATGCTCACGAACAACCTTAATACACACACACACACACACACACCCCCACATTCATAAAAAAAAAAACATAACTTCCGAAAATCAAAAGTGCAAAAAATTAATCCTACCCAAATTAGGAGAATTCCACGCTGCCTAGCTACTTGGACGGCCTTGATTACGTTGGGGACTATGGCTTTGCCTCCATTTACTCGCATAAGACCATCCTCGTGAATGAAATCTTTCTGCCAATTCAGAATTAAGCATGATCCTCCACGGTCTGTGGATAATCAAGAGAGAGAAAGGAAAAGTTTATAGAGAGAGAAAGAGAGAGAAGAACCTGCATGTCGATTACAAGAAGAGCTGTGCGATTCCATTTCTCGGCCATTTTTCGAAGGTGAAGAGCTACAGCTACAGTTCGTTGTGTCTACATAGGGAAGGGATATGGGCCGTATTGATTAGACCCATTAAAAACTACTTTTAGGCCATAGCTAAAGAGCCCGTATCAGATTCGAGTTCGGACTTACAAGAAGCCCTATTACTTGACATTTTTGGTCGGGGATAAAAATGCAACTAGCATATTTTTTTAAAAAATAATCAAAGTAAATAACATATTTACTTATAAATAGTTTATTTATGTCGGTACATACATTATTTAGACTGAATATTTACCGGTAAGTAAATTATTGCCTCTAGTAATTATTAGAACTCAACATATTGACATAATCCACTTAATAAGGCGAGTGCAATCCTCTCCTAATAAGCCGGTTTTGTTAAGTTGAGTTAGGCCCAATATTCTTCAATTTCTGTAAAATGGTATCAGAACAGGCCTAGTTTTGTAATGTTAGGTCCCCCAATATCGACTTATTTGTAGCGGTTTGACATGGTCCACGCTGTACGTGAGGGGGCGTATTAGAACCCCACATTGGCTGGAGATATTGACATGATCCACTTAATAAGGCGACGGCAATCCTCCCCTAATAAGCCGGTTTTGTTAAGTTGAGTTAGGCCAAATATCATTTGATTTCTGTAAAAGTAATAAATCATTTACCACTACTATTTACTTTAATTATTTTAGAATATGTTATTTCCTTAAAAAATGAATTTATTATAATTACTGCTTAAGGGGAGGCTATATGTAATGGAGGGAATATTCTCCACAAAATCAGACGTTATTAGTTTCGGCGTGATATTACTCAAAATCATTAGCGGAAAGAGGAATAATAGCACTTACCGTGTAGAAAGCTCTTTGACACTCATCAGATATGTATGTTCTTCATTAACTGAATTGGTATTGTACATTATGATTGAGCTGTAAATTCAAATAGATAGATTAAGAATGTAATATACCCTTTTGATCAATATCATGGGAAGGAAGGGAAACAGTTGGAATTTGTGGACCCTTTGATGAAGGAAACATGCCCGATTGAGGAAGTCATAAGAAGCATGAATATTGGGCTTTTGTGTGTTCAGGAGGATCCAGCGGACTGGCCCACAATGTCGTCTGTGGTAGTACTCTTGGAAAGTGGATCGGTTTCTCTTCCTCAACCAAGTCAACCTGCATTTTGTGTTCCTAGAGTGATACCAATCAATCAGTCTTCAATGACTAACCGCTCTGTAACTGGTCTTACAGTTGCTTCTAGTGTATCTTCCAGTTCCTAACCCCAGTGATTGCTAATAGTAAACAATATTGCTGATACAGCGCCAAAATAAATGGACATTGCTGATATAGTGCCAAAAGACAGAGCGACCATACTTTTCCTTTTCCATAACAAGAAAATTGATATTTCTTTTGTTATACTTATTATTTAGGACATGATGAAAATTGACAAAAGAATAAACATGTTAACGTATAAGCTTTATATGCATGTTAAATAAAAATCTCAATATCAAAAGAGAGTTTTTTAAGTCCCAAATTGAGATTTCATCGTGATTCAAGCACTATTAATAGCACGACGTGCTAATATACAATGTGTATATTGAAAAAATGAAAAAAAATAAAAAAAAATACATTGACTACCGATTTTTACAATTTTTGTTTTCTTTCTAATTTTCTGATATTTCTCAAAATTCTATATAAAGAAGATACACTATAACTTGACTAAAATCAATATTTTTACCAATATTTGATCATGATGTTTATCAAATTTTTCTCAAAATTTTATCATAACTTTTTACACTCGAGATATTTATGGATCATAAATATTCGATAAAACCTCTAGTTGTGGGAGATTGTTAAGTTACCTCCAAAATACACAGCATATTTCTCCGATTATTGGAGTCGCCTAATGGATGATTGCAAGACCTGTTAAGTTAACTTCTTGCTATTATCTTTCCACCACTCCAAAATATCAAAATCAAGGGTTAAAGGGTTCACATTCTCTTCAGCTAGATACCTCTCAAGGTCATTTTTCTCCATATTACCCCCTCGTTGCTTTAAGAATTGACTTAGCAACTCATTGACCGCTTGGACAGGTGGTTGTTTTGGAGTATTTTCAGCCATTTCTTTTTTTTTTTTTTTTTTTCATTATCTACCCCTTCACCACAAAAGGATGTCATTTTAGCCAGTGTTTCATCCACTTTGTTGCACAATTTAGAGGCTGTGGAAGCATCATAAATCATGCTAAAACAGTTCCAAAGATATGCCTTTTTATATCGAAGGTCAAGTACAACAATAATAAACAACATACAGTGAATATTTTCCTTATTGCCCAAATATTTTTCAAACTGCCTTCTCATCCCAAAAGCCATAGTTGACAACAAGCAATCACCACTTTCACATAACTCACTCAACCGTCTTTGAATGATACAAATCTCATGGAAAAAAGTGTTGGAAGTGACATGTTCTGATGTACTAAATTTCAAAGTGACTTCATAAAAAGTCTTAAGAAATTGAACAAAAACCTTAGCATTTGCCTAATCTTCCTTCATTGGTGGTCCCACTTTTCTCTTCCCACCCTCTTCTTCCAAAAAGTATCCTAAGTAGTTTTCATCCTCCTCTTCAAACCTATCAAAGGCCTTTTGGAACTTAATAGCAACATCTAGCATCGTGTATATTGAGATCCACCTAGTTGGGACATCTAAGATCAACATCCCCTTATATTCAACTTTCTTTTGCTCTACACAAACTTTAAACTTTTGTAACCTCACAGGAGAAGATTGACATACTTAATAGCATTTCAAATTGCTACTATTGAGCTATGCATTTCCTTTAGGCCTTCATTTCCAATGAGGTTGACGATGTGAGCAACACAACGCTGATGGAGAAATTCACCGTCCAAAACAGTGCCCTATTCCACCCATTCACCCTCCGTTTGAAAAAACTCAAGGCTGAATCATTGGCAGAAGCATTGTCTATTGTCACCATGAACACTTTCTCAAGGCCCCATCCATGCATAAATACTCAATCAACCTCCCAATGGTTTCTCCTTTTCCATTTGGCATGGTACAAAAGTTGATAATTCTCTTTTACAGCTTCCAATCAGAATCAATGTAGTGGGCAGTTAGACATATATAGTGTATGTTTTGTAAAGAAGTCCAACCATCAGTTGTAAAGGATACTTTCATACAATCATTGCGTAAAGCAGCTTTCAATTTAGCCTTTTCCTCACTAAACAATTGCAAAACATCTCTAGCAACTGTCATTCTTGAAGGAGGAATAAATTTGGGTTGCATTACTTGGCAAAAGTGCCTAAACCCCTTCCATTCTACACTCCTAAATGGCAGCTCATCCATGATCACCATCTTAACTAAAGCTTTCCTACAGGCTTCTTTACTATACCCTATTGTCAACAAACCACTCCCAATGGATTCATTTTGCATTGCTTTCTTAAATGAACCAACATGCTACTTGTCCCATGCATTCTAGAACTATAAGCATAGTCCTTCCCACAATAATTACACATTGCACTTTCATCACCTGGACTAGCCCTTTTCTTAATAGTAAAATGATCCCAAACCTCAGCTTTCCTAGCAGGCTTTCTTTTACCATTTGTCTCCTCATTTTCTAAATCAATCACATTTTTGTTTGGTGATCTAGGGGTTGGTGTTTTGAAAAAAACTTCAGGGTCAACCGATTGGTTTTTAGGAGTAAGGGATGGGGAAGGTGATGATACAGATCCAGAAGTTTGGGTGTTGTTGCTTGATGATGATAAGAACTTGTCCATCCTAAATAGAAAATATAACACCAGCCAAAGTCCAAACCGATCAACATGTTCACAAAACAGACAAATAAAAAATAAAAAATCACATTGACACATTCACTAATCACATAGCTAAAATCACATAGGTGAAATCACATAGCCACAATATAACACCAGGCAAAGTCCAAACCGATCAACACACGTTCACAAAACAGACATATTACAAATCAAAAATCACATTGACACATTCACGAATCACATAGCTGAAATCACATACATAGCCACAATATAACTGATCAACCAAAGTCCATTTGATTCAAGAGCAAACTCCTCACAATAAACATCAAAATCGAGTAGAAATCAGATTTCAGATTTCAAATTTACCTAAGAGCCAAGAGGAGAGGCGGAGACCGGAGAAAGCCAAGAGGAGAGGCGGAGACCGGAGAAAGCCGAGAGGAGAGGCGGAGACCGGAGAAAGCCGGGAGGAGAGGCGGAGACTGGAGAAAACTAAGAGGAGAGGCGAAGACCGGAGAACACCGAGAAGAGAGGCGGAGACCGAAGAAAGATGAGAGGAAAGGCGGAGACCGGAGAAAGCTGATATGAGAGGCGGAGACCGGAGACAGCTGAGAGGAGAGGCGGAGATCTGAGGAGAGGAGAGGAGAAGCGGAGACCGAGGAGAGGAGAGGCGGAGAGGAGAGGAGAGGAAAGGCGGAGAGAGTGAAGGAGGTATGGTCGTGCGTCGAAGAGGGGAAGGCTCAAGAGTGAAGGGCTGAAGGTGAAGGCTGTCGTCTAAAGAGTGAAACTGAAGACTCAGTCTAGGGCTAGAACTATAGAAAACAGTCTAGGGTTAGATATTACAAATAAGGCCCAACCCATTAAGGACTGTTCATGGGGTGTGCGGGTTGGGTTGGGGTGTGCGGGCCATTATAGGCTTAACCCACACCCCGTCTCAAAACTTCGGGTCAGGCATTGAATGGGTTGAAAAAAAATTAATACTAAAAATTTCATTTTTCAGATTGGGTTGGGATGGGCCTGCGGATTTATGAACATCTCTACTGTTAACAGAGGCTTCTACAATAATTAAAACAAAAAACAAAAAAGACCTATTAATAGAGTGCACAATGTGCAACCCACAGTTCTAATTGCGAAAGCCACCACCATAGGTCATGGCCAACGCTGGACCCGGCCCATATTTACATTCTTTTCTGTAATCATTTATAACGTTGTGAATAAATTTCAAGAATTTTAATTAGGTTTGGACTTCTAACCGACTGTCCCATTCTTGCCCTGCTTTTC